AACAATACGACATAGGGCTTATTTTATTATTAATATAGGCCACACACGTGTGTTTGAAACTAAATATAAGCATTTTCATGTGGTTTTATTTATTACAATCATAGGCCTATTCTTTCACCATAATTAAACATTGAGGCCCTTCTTTTAGGTAAAACGATCTATCTTAAATTTTCAGTCTGAAGTTCTAATTTCGTCGGAATTGATAAAAACTCCCTAAATGTGCAATTTTTAGAGGAAATTGGCCTACCTCAACAAGAAATGCTCTTGTGTTATATATGGCCACACTCGTTTTTTTTAAACTGAATATAAGCATTTTCCTTATGGCTTTATTTATTACAAACATATTCTTTCAACATCATTACACATTGAGGCCCTTCTTTTAGGTAAAACGATCTATCTTAAATTTTCTTTCTTGAGTTGGGGACTATGTGTTGTAACTTAGAAGGCAAAGGAAAGCCTTAAAATTTGAGATTTTCAGGCACTTTCCCGGGTGAAAAGTGCATTCAATGGGGAAAGATTTTCCACAGATGGATATTTTCCCCTTGTCCCCCGGTGGTTACTCCACTGCGGAGAATACCTGGCGTCTTAGATCAAATGCGCTATGGACACTTTTTAAAGTGGAGAAGGGGTTGCAGGCCTGGGTATTGTGATATCTGTTCATTATATCTTCCTTTTTATTCTTGTCTTTATTTTTCTCTTCCCTTTTTCTTTTCCTTTTTCCTTTCTTTTCTTTCCCCTTATTTCTCTTTCCCTCCCTCCCTTTCTTTTCTCTTCTTACCCAGTCCGGTACGACGGCTTGGTCAGCCCGGTAAAAACCGTCAGGGGGGACATTCTGCCCTTTTACGCCACTGCTTATAAGATGAATGGGAATATGAATCATGCAGATCTGGAATCAAATCTAGGTGGTGGGGTCAACATTCCTCCCCCGGGAAAATTTTGATTTCTAGATGGCGGGAAATGACCTTTCTCGACTTTTGAGCTAGGTGTCTAATGACTTTGTTCTTCAAAGTTTAAGGTTTTCCCCCTCATGAAAACGGTAAAGTAAATTTTCTTAGATGACGTCTTAGGGCGTCTTAGATCTTTCTGTTGTTTAGATAGATCTTGGATTTGAGCGTCATACGATTTATTATGTATTGTTCTCTGTTCAAACCCGATCACCTGTTCCGCGGCTTGTGTGGTGTTTTCTTTGATATGTTGCCTGGCTTTACCTGGTTGCACAGGTATATTTGTTTTTGTTGTAAGGTCAATGAGTTTGTCGGTATACTTTCTTTTGTCTCCGTTTAGCGTTAGTATTTTAATGCAAATTTTCTGTTCTCATTTTGTACTCGTTGTAGTTTTATTTTATGCCAGGCAAGATTAAAGCGAGCGGTAACTATTCTGTGATCACTTGAGGTAATTGTCCCTCCATAAGATCTGGAGTCTTTCAATAAGGGCTTTATTCTGGATTTCAAATTAATAAAGTTAATTTGATTATAAACCGTGGTGATAAGACTATCCTTATTACGCCTTTCTTTTCCCCATGTAATATGCCGTGCTGGATGTTGAAAAGCACTGTTAGTAATGAATAAATCATTTTTCTCACAGAAATTAATTAAAATTTGGCCATTATTATTGCGATATCCACTTGAATAATTGCCCACACCGTTCTCATCTTTTTCTTCCCTATTTTTGAGTTAAAGTCTCCACAAATAATCAACAATGTGTGGTTAGCATATGTTTTGACTAAGTCATCCAGGTCCCTGCATACCTTGTCCAGTTCAGCTGGATTTTTTGCAGGTTAATGTACCGGCATTCATCTGTGTTAACGTCAACGCTTCCCCGTGTTTTGATTTCCTGTAGGCAGGCTACGTCTATCCAATATTTTACAATGTGTTCTGCAAGTTGATGCTGCTTAATTTCATTCATTAGTGTTATACGTGTAACACTGACAGGAATTTAAACTCATTGACACTGGGATTGGATTGTAAGGCAAGCCTCTTCATCATCTACAGTTCCATTCCATTGTAGGTTTTATTACAACAGCAATTTGTAAAATTAAAATTTTGAAGGCTAAAGGCTATTTTTGAATTGCTGTTAACATAGTTGAACAATAAATCGGGATACCTTTAATGACTTAATACTACTTCACCGCTGCCCTTATTTATTAGGGAGTGTTAAGATGATTTTAGCATCATTAATTTTGTAAGAAATGGGATGTTTAATACAATACGTTTCGCTATACGAAAAAAAAAAGCGAAAAAAAATAACACGCTTTGACGGTGCTGCACTTATTAGATCAGTTGAAGTGTACCATATCAAAAAAGTACATATGATAATTTTCTGAATGTCTTTATTAGTACCGTGTTATTGTTCTGTGTTTTTTTTTTTCTTTTCTTTTCCAGATTGTTACAAGGGGTGTGACGGTTAGTTTATAAGTAGTTCTTAAATATTTGGCTTAAATGTGTGAATGTTGTATTGAAAACAAACAATCGATCAAACGTAATAAAACAGTGTCTTTGCAGAGTTATGAAAATGTTATAAATGTGGTCATGTTTAAACACTAGTACATTTTTATGGCGTTCTGTGCCATAAAAAATCTATCTATATAAATATACATAGAAAGATACATACATTGCATCAAACTTATGCATTTCATTTAGAAACTCCACTTAAACAGACAAAATGCAATTTACTAGGCAAGTTCAGTGCGGCCACAAACACGTTCACTTTTTTTGTTTTTCTACCTGGCCATATTTCCATCAGGCTTGTAGCCACACTAATCCTGTTTACCACTCGGATTTTACCAACCACCCATGTAATAGGATAACATATCTTCAGACAGGACTGGCTAAAAAAAATGTATTCATGGTCTGCTATTGACAAGTCTTAGGTCAACCAAACGAGGAGTCAGCCTTTTCTGAGCACTTTTTCTTGAGTTGCTCTGCCCTTTACACTATACCTCATCACCACCAAGTAGCTTGTGACATTTACTACATAAACATACAGATCGTGTGTTATCAAACCTATAAAATTCAAAAATGAGCTGACAGTTTCTTGAATTGTAATATCAAAAAAGTGTGCACAGATAAGTAATACAATTAATTATATTTTCTGTTTTTCTTTACCAGAATGTTACAAAAGATGTGGTCATGGTTAGTTGTAATTTGATTTTGCTTTGAATGTGCAATAGCAATGTGGTAATAACTGCCACTTATTTGATAAAACGTAGACAGTATTACTACAGGATAATAAAACGTTACGATATTGTTGTTATTAAGATGACGGTCATGTTATAATGTGTACATTTAAAGCAATATACAAAATTATTTGTGTTTTGAAATTACATTTTTATTGTGCTGTCATAAACCTTGCATATGCAATGTAATACATAATAACTCAGTTTTTGAATTAATAATTATTGATTTGGTGTTATTTTTCAGATTGCTACAGGAGGTGTGATGGTTAGTTGCGATAGTCCATGTTTAGCTTTAAATGCGTAACGGCTTTAAATGCCCTTTCTACATACTTAATAATTGATTCAACATAATACATTATCATAGTACACAGCAATTAATAGATAAATATGACAGTCATATTAAAACTCATGTTCCACTTTCAAGCCAATATGAAGTGTTCTCAATTTGTTGAAGACATAAATGAAATAAAACATAATTTTCAACAAACATTTTCTAGATGTTGTTTACAAGTTTCATGTATGCAACATGCAGTACTAGCTATTCCGGTTCAATGCGGCCACAATAGATAGACTTATCTAATAATCAACTGTTAAACTGGTATAGAAAAGAACAGTTTATAAGACGGTCTCCCACCGTCAAACCATAGAGGAAATAAATTGGAAATTTTAAAGTTAGCGGGAGAATTTTAGGAACAATTACGAATGCTAGTAGGTAAGTTCGCGCGGGTTCATATGTACAAATACAGTAAGTGTGTTGAGTTTCTAATCGCCACATTGCATACAGTAGAATGATGATTGAATATGTTGTGGAAACACCGCCATCTACTGATCGGCTTGGATTCTCTATCTATTGCAATAAAGTAGCTTTTAGTTAAACGTCCATGTTATTGTAGTAGGACTACACTGCCGTGATTCGGAAGAACGCTTTATAAGCTATAGTTATAGTTTTGAGATATCTAATTAGCATAACGAATTTCTTGTTAGCCTGTTGCTATGGAAATAAATTCTATTTATTTTTGTGTAAATGTTCTAACTACATAATAGAAAAACATACTAAAGTACTTTTATAATGATTATTATTTTCTATAACCCAGTCAAAATTGACATGATGCACTTTTCCAAACAGAGGACCTGACTAAGATTTGTATGCACTTCACCCTAGGAATAACATGGGATGTGTGCCAAAATCTCTATCCGGGACGAACAGCCCGAAAATGACCACGCCCTTTATTAAATGACCACGCCCTCTTTTTATAGGGTAGGGGGTATTTTGAAATTAAGCTAGACGGTATAAGGAAATAGCAAATGAAGGGGTTTTTGTTCTAAATGAGCAAACATGACAAGGGGAATAAATTCCTAAAATTACGTCTCAGTCACATTTTCCGTTCATATGCAAATTAGCTTGAATATGCAAATTAGGAGTGAAAAAATAGGGTTCCTATGTTCTGAGAACCGCTGGTCGTAGCGAGTTGCTATCTTTTTTTAGTTGTTCGGACCATGCATATTGATTTTATACCAAAATCAACACTCTCAAACTGTTGTTATGGTATTGCAGCTGCACTTTTGCCTGCAGGGTCAAATGTCAGGAATGTAGTTTGTGCAATTTCTGAGTGAATTACAGTGAATCGGAACTTGAATATGTGTTGTTTGAGACCAAAACAAACTTTTTAGTCAGTAGTCGTGGGAATAGGGAAAATTTGCAAATAAGTCAAATAGGCCTATGGCATTTCCGGTCATTTTTTAAGCAAATGTCACATTAAAGCCAATAGAAATGTGCATGGTCTCTTGGAGCAGTGGTTCTCAGCCCATGGGAACCCTAATTTTTCACTCCTAATTTGCATATTTAAGCTAATTTGCATATCAACTGAAAACGTGACTAAGATGTAATTTCAGGAATTTAATCCCCTTGTCATGTGTGCTCATTTAGAACAAAAACCCCTTCATTTGATATTTTCTTATACCGTCTAGCTTAATTTCAAAATACCCCTACCCTATAAAAAAGGGGGCGTGGTCATTTAATAAAGGGCGTGGTCATTTTCGGGCTGTTCGTCCCGGATAGAGATTTTGGCACACATCCCATGTTATTGCTAGGGTTCATATTAGTCTATAACAGTTGAGATATTCCCTCCTAAATAAAGTGCATACACATCTTAGTCAGGTCCTAGACTAAATTAAAACAAAAGCCAATAAAGCATGAACAATCAGATATTGGGCACTATATCCAGTTTTGCCTGTAGAATTCATGCGTTAGACTTCAGGTCTAATACTATGACAGATTTTATCCATAGGATGCCCCTAAGCCAAAAACCTAAAAAAATTCAAAAGTGGATATAATGCGTTTTTCTGATTCACGGCACTACAGTCGAATATATTTATAGTATTAATATTTAATGTTTATATTTCTTTGTTTTAGAACGATTCAATTTTTTCCGACAGTTTCAAGGTTGGTTGAAATATTAGTTCTTATAAGTTTAGACTTAGGCTTAAATATTGAACTGTGTAAAATGACATTTGAAGACAGAAAATTACGATAGTATGCGTCTCATTTTTGGGTACAAAACGTCGGTGCTTTGACCTTGGTGGTGTCGGGATTTTGTGTAGGCCCAGGCCTGCTTCTAGTCATGCACTTTTGAGTCATAAACAATAGGGCCTATCACAAAATAACCAACAATTCTGGTCAACAAAGGAAGTATTTTTCGGCTACAAGAGAGAAGAGAACAGCTAGGCCTAGCAGGCCTAAGCTAAGACCCTAGGCCTAGGCTACGCTTGAATTGCGCTGTTGATTGGGGAAAAAAACACAAAATGGCTACGAACGGTTAGAGACAGCTAAACGTATGCGTACACGTATACGTTCGCGTGCGAAACCTCCCTATTATTTGATCTTTCACCATTCTTACACAGCATCGTTGCATGATCATTCATCGTTATGAATTCTGTACATAATTTTAACTTGAGGTGTAATAACTTGCAAAGATGTTTGTAGAATCTTGTTTCAAACAGTTATTTTTCATTACCTGGTGGAGGAGATTTTCTTTTCTTTCTGGCAACTCGCTCACTTTTCATCAGCTACCCAATAATTATGTGGTGGCACTGTTGACAGTATTACTGAGATACAGTGTGACCACTGCTTGGGTATTTACCCAAGATCCTTGGTATTTTGACTTGGTCTTGGGTTCCGTTCAAATCATTGGGTATTTTATTTTTACTAAGACAATTAAATATTTTTGTCATAGAGGAAGAATTAGGAAGTAACAAAGTATATTTCAGTCCATTCAAGTAAGCAAAACTCAACAAAGTGCACATAACATTGTTAATTGACTGTTAATTGCTATAAACATGGGTTCAAAATTGTTTATTTGTGATTTGCGTTGCCATAGATCTTACCTAATTAATGCATTACATAATAAAACTTGATCGCTGATCTACTGATAACACTGGCCGACTGAGGGCGTATTTTTCTATCCGTATTATCACCTAATGAACATTAATTTTAATAATTAACACAAGCAATTACAATAAAAAATAATTTATAAATTGAACTAAAAGTTAAACTATACATGCGAAAAACACGTTGTTTTCAAATTTTAATGCATTTTCAGGAATCTTGGGTAATTTTGGGCCATTTTTTCTGAATCTTGGGTAATTTCGACCCAGTTATTGGGTATATCAAAAATTGTGAGTGGTCACGCTGCTGAGATACAACACCGTCAGACAGTACTAAAGAGCGGGAAGGTGGTACCACCAGCTCTTTCTGTTCAGGATGCTCCTGTTTCGTATAATATGGGCTGCCTCCTGGATTCCAATTCCCATCCTATGATGGATCTGAGTACTGTACCAGATATTAAAGCCCTCCGACTGGATGGCGTGTCTAGTGGTTTTCGTGTGCCCAGTCACTGTGGACAGGGGATCCTTTTGTGTTCAGCGGCTTTGACACCCAAGGGTTGTTTAGTTTCTCCTATATACGAAGCATGACAGTTATATATGCCGTGTTGTACTTATCATTCCTATCCATTGTGCACTTTGATGACACCCGGAGTTGGCGAATAGTGTTCTTAGGTTTCAAGTGTACTTGAGTTTAGTACTTGAGGAGTTTAAAACAAGAAGAAGTCCTTTCGCAATATCCCTTACACAGAGCAGAACAATACTGCCCTCCTCTGAGAAAAGGCATTAATACATTTTTTTTCAAAATTGAGATTTTTGGCTTACGTGACTCCTTATGTCTAATCTATCACCTTGGTTCATCAAAGTTCCAAATTAATGTCTGGAAATATGAAATTTTATTTTAAAATTGGGCATTATCTGCAACTGTCACTACAAATACTCAGAGAAAAGGTTTATGTGCATTGAACATTGACTTCACGCAGGACAGATAGTAAGTAACCAATCAGATGCTAGTGTAACGAATATCTATTTAACTAGCTTGGAATCCTCAACAAATAATGCCAAGCAGGGAACCGTTAAATTAATTAATTTCTCTGTTCCTGATGCCAAGTTAAAAATTGCTTTATTTCAAAAATACCCTGAGAAAATTATTTACCTGCTTTGTATTTTATTACGTTCAACTATCAATTCTACGATTCTTGTAATACTTTTGTCGTAATGGCGTAAGTTGCAGCGCAAATCTTTTAAGAAGTCTTTTGGAAGAGCAAGTACAATATCATTGTACTCAGCATTGTAAATATTCTTTTTTGAAGTGTTTTGTACACGATTATCTATGTTATGTTATTTCATTATAATAACCCTATATAAAATTGTATTTTATTGTGTGGTAGCATCACATATTTATTTCATATAATTAATTAATCAACACGATTGTATTCTGCAAATACATTTTACCATTGTAAAAATAATAGCTGCAATGTGCTAAGATTTAAAAATATGATGATGGGCTAGTTACCGAACCATTAATAAAATAAGTCTGTAACGTATTTTGACAAACCTAAAATGATAAGAACAGTTCAAGCTAGGCTACCACCCCCCCCCTAATTTTTCACTCAACTTTTGGATTTGAAACATACTTGAGTTTTAAAACGTTGGATAGAAGATTTTGCAGCTTTCAACTATTTTAATATTTTTTAATATTAAATTTCATTTCTTGGAGTAACATATTTATAAAATATAATGTTATGAATATATAGATTAGATTCATATACATACATTTAAATAAATTAATTATTTATGTATGTGTATAAATAATTTTTGCAGATATTCCCCGACTTCAAAAAGTATTTAACCACATTTATAATCATTATTACTCCAAAAAAAGGCATTATCTCCATTTTCGCCCCTTAAGAAAAAAAATTAATGAAAAGTATGTGGCAAATTTTTAGCAATATATTTAAACAAACCATAGTTTAAAAATTTTTTAATCATTAGTACTTTTCTTGGGAAAACCCAAACGCATTCTGCTCATTTACTCAAAACTCTCATTTTTGTTACTTAATGCCTTTTCTTCGAGGAGGGCAGAATAGAACCTTTATTAACAAATATAGCAGTTGGATTCCTACAGGTGGGTGGTGATGCGTGCATCGGCGACAGCAAATTTTGCACACGTTTATACCCACACACACACACCCACCCTCACACCTACTCCCACACACACCCCCTCAAACCTACACACACCCAAACACACACCCCGCCTGTACAGACCCACACACACACACACACACACACATACTGAAAGGGTGACCATATTTTTCCAAGGCCATGATTTTATCTTCCTCCTCAGTGACCAGTGACCATTGTAAAGATGTCAGGGTATGTGTCACATTGTTTAAGATTAGAAATCTTTATTATTGTGAGTGTTTACAGTAATGTTTAAAATACTTAATCGTAATCGTTCAATTACTTCTCAAGTCATGCTATCACTTTATTACTCGTGGTAGTCTACACTATTAGAATATTCTAAATATAATTTAAAAACTGTACAGTATATGAAATATATTCCCCTAGACCCCAACAAATGTTTCATTAACCATTTTTGAGCATAATTAAGTAGAAAGAATACTAATGACATGTGGAACCTTATTGACAAAGCCTTTACGATATTAAAAATGATTTTCTATATTTCCATAGTCTTTGTAATGCAAGGTACATTATTGTTGGTATTTTTGTTTTATTTGTTTAGGTGATGTATGTTTCTCAAAGTGTGAAGGTTGGTTGGAACAGTTACTAAATAACTATATTTGGGTTTAGGATATTTTCGTCAAAATTTTGTTTAAAATATACTGCTTGAAAATGCCATCAGTGTTGATAATGCACGTATTCTAGGACTGGGTACCTCTTAGACGGCAGCCAATCTTATAACAATCGTCTATATGTGTATGTAAAAGTAAGCATACTGGATATCGATTAAATCATTGTACAATGATTTAATCAATATCCATAGGCCTACAAAGTTAATAATAATTATTATCAATGTGTAAAGGATTTCCTGGGACAGATACAGGTAGACACCATCTATTACTAAATCTTAACCAACTCCTGGGTTAATCAGTGCCAAATTACTGGAAACATTTTCGGCATGTGAATAAATGTACGATAACTAATAAGCAAGATTATTTCGCAATTTAATTTAATGTGCATACCTTTGTCTTTTCTTCTAGATGCTAAGTGCTTTACCATGTGTACAGGTTGGTTGCAATTACTTGTTTACAGTGCCGTGGGAACATGTTTCATTTGTTTCCGAATTGTTTTGTAGTTAGTTTCCAGGCAACCAGTACTAGTCATGGTGATAATTATTAGGCCTAGATTTTTTTTAATTTTTTTTTTTTTTGCTTTATTAAACGTAAAAAGAATCCCTAAACGGCCATTATCATGTATGTATATTATAAATTATATTAAAACTATATTTTATTTTATTATATTTCCATTTAATTGCACTAAAAAAGTTAAATCGTGGAAACAGTTGGGTACGAGTTCGTGATATTACATCATAATTGAAGCATAGTGTACGTGACTAGCTAGACAAAAACAAATAACTACATTGTCCAATAATATCATTAAATATATCAAGACATAATTTAGGGGGGTGGGGGGAAACATACGCAACAGGCCTATGCATCTTGGACTATATTAAATAAATAAATGTGAAAACATTTGGCTACCAGTTCGCCAAAAGTCATGGGTACGTGATCTCCAATGGTGGGTACGAGTTCACCTAAATTCGGGTATGGATTCGCCAAAGTAGGTACGAGTTGGCATGGGTACGAGTTTGCATCAGTGGTTGCTCCGGAAATTTGCCGACAAGGGGTCCGACGTGTCCGACGGAGGGGTCCAAACCAAGGCGCCGACGAAGCCTCGACCGACTACATGGAATAAAAAAAAATCCCTATAAAGGCCTGTTTATACTTTCAACGATAACGATAACGATAAAAAGCTAAAAATCAATTGTTCATATAGAAAATAAAAGAAATAACCCTAGGACGATCCGATAATGACTTATCGTGTATACGATAACAAAATATTTTGACAAATCAATTCAAATGACGTCATAATTATGGAAAAAAACTATAAAATTGTTTTGACTACTACGACATATTATTATTATTTTACTGTTTTTTACTGTTTTTTTTCATTTGAATTGATTCGTTAAATTATTTTATACACGATAAGTCGTTATCGAATCGTCCTAGTGTAAACATTTCCCTTATTTCTTTTATTTTCTGTATGTAACAATTACTTTTTAGCTTTTTATCGTTATCGTTATCGTTGCAAGTATAAACATGCCTTTAGGGTTTATGGGGAGAGTTCTTATGGCTTAATGTGGTCCTAAATGTGCCTTTAGACCACAATATTTTCGATTTGGTCCGACGACCTAGTCGTTCGTCAGGCGACAGGGGGTAACTCGTACCCATGTCAACTCGCACCCACAACTTGTACCCACATGTATACTATATACTAGGTTATTGCAAGATTAAGAATAATAATAAATCTACCTGGATGTCTTTAAGGCTATCCCGCTTCTAGTTGCCTAGACCTATGTACACTTATGTTTTCAAAAATATTCTAAGCAGTAATACAAGAAACAACACGCCTGCAGCCAAGTATTTTATTTAGGCTAAACTAGGCCACAATTACAATGGGTGGCAGATAAGAAACCTACAGTTGTCCATAAGTGTCACAACAACGCATATTACAACTTTCGTAAACAATGTGCCAACCCTGAGCCGAGTTCCCAAAATTATGTAGTTTCTACGCATGCGCTATCATTTTGAGTCGTAAACGCGACCGAGTTTTTAAAAATAATTCTTTAGACTATGACGAGTATTGCCTCCACACATAAACTCAATTTTGAGTCTCAATAATTGTAGTGAAATTATTATAATTGTCTTTACTATGACAGACAAATCCCAAATATTATTTCTATAAAACCACAATTTACCAAACATGTAAACTAAATAAAAATTCTAAAACTTCGCACTAGTTTCATGAGAGAATCGAAAAAATGACAGCACTGTTCTGAATTTTACGATTTAGTGTGATTTAAAAGTAAACATTATATAGGGCCTAGTTTTATTATAATTAGTTTTAGGCATGGCGGCTCAGTGTTGGCACGGCGAGTTTATGAAAGGGCCAAATTCAACGGAAACACGTTCCAATATGTCAGGCACACTTTCAAAATTCACATTAACACATTTTGAGACACCATAGCACACTTTCAACTTCGAAAAATCTCAGGTCAAACTTGTAAAATTAACAGAGTGTCCGATGGAATGGGAATTTAACGCTGATTTTATAAGCTGCTATTACTTGGCTCAAGACACACATACTGACTATCTATCAGCAAACAGTACTTGCCAAACACTTGGCGGACATATTGCGACCATTTCCAGTGTGAAGGAAAATTATTGGATACAAACGAAGTTGAATGCAGACTTAATAATGTGGCAACCAGCTTGGACCCATTATGATGATAGGTTGACGGAAAGGTATAAAAGTAAGTTATATCCTTATTGTTATCATTATTGTTATTATTATTATTATTATTATTATTATTATTATTATTATTATTATTATAGTAACATCCATTTATGGAGTAAAAATGAAGTTTTTAGTCCCATTGTTTAAAAATTCTAAAATGCTGTATTTTTAATATCTAGGAAGTCATATCTGATTTTCTATTGTGTTAGTGTTGACGTTTAAATCTAGAAATATTCCTAATGTCATCTGTGAAGTAAAGGGTCAACATTTGATTAATAAAATATGAAGCTTTTAGTTCATTATTATAAAAGTCTAGTGTACTGTTGTTAATATACAAGAATTCGTGTTTGATGTCCGAATAATTTAGGTTTGACCTTCAAATCCAAGAATGCTACTGAATGCTACTGACTATACAAAGTGCAACAGGTTACAAACGTTGGCTATCAATCAAACAATCTCTTTTTTCAATGTACACTTTGACTTTGCGTGTTCTTAAACTCCAGAATTTCACACATTCACTTAGCAGCTCCCTTCAATTTGAAGATCTAAACTAGGTCGAAATCGAATAAAGGTTGTATTGAATCCAACAACAGATATAAATTCCTGGACGTACTAAACCTTCACACCCATTGGCTAAAGCGGCCATGTAGGCCAATACACTGAAAAAAACTTAAAATGGCGGAAGGCGGCCATTTTTGATTCAGGGCTCTTACAGGTTAGTCGCACACTTCCACGAGGGACACCCCAGCATTGTTTCAACCCTCAAGGAAGATAAATCCACTAAGAAACTAAGTTATCCTTTCCACGTTCACGGAATTGCCAGAAATAAGCCAACTAACAAGACATCTTAGATCATGATTATCTTATGCTTGTCTATGAGTCCGAGTTATTGTGGTTTATAGAGCGCAAAAGATGAACATAGCTGTCCCTAAGTCTTATTTTTAGCTTTTATAAGGTACAAGATTTACACTTACAGCACAGATGACATTATTAGACAGTATAATATATTTAACCTGTACTTTTCTTAAATTTTGTCTTCATTCATTTTCAGTTTTATTGTTAAGCGCACTGAGGCTTTAGCATATTGCGCTATATAAGCAAAAAATATTATTATTATTATTATTATTATTATTATTATTATTATTATTATTATTCGAAAAATAGCTCATCTGTGTTGGTATTTGAATGTACGAAAAGTTTAAACTTTTGATCACAACACAAACAAATTTCCTTACCGTGAAATTTTCGACCGTATGCCACGGTCTTCCTCAGCACAATGACTGGAATGTGACTTCAAGGCTACACCGATTTTGGGCACGTGATCTTACGAACACGTGACTCCAAAATCGGATCGTAGATCTTTGGCAGTTTGTGTCGGAAATTATACCCCACCACTGAAATGCCTCCTAAATGTTATGGTCTGCCCAAGATTCATAAAGTAAACATCCCATTGAGACCAATCGTCAGTAGTATTGACTCGATCACTTAGAGTTCAGCAACGTTTTTGGCTGAAATTCTCTCACCTTTAGTTGGAAATTCAATTCATCGGGTGGTCAATTCTTTAGAATTCTCAAAACTAATAAAAAACAAGAGATTTGAAGAGGATGAAGAGTTAAGATCGTATGATGTTACAGCACTCTTTGCGTCAGTTTCAGTGGATAAATCGTTGGAAATCATTCACACCAGACTGCAAAACGATCCTACTCTTAGTAATAGGACCACCGTTACACCACAACAGATTATTAAGCTCTTGGAGGTATGCCTGAGGTGCACATATTTCGTATACAATGGCACGTTTTGCCAGCAAATCCGTGGAGCGGCTATGGCCTCACCGGTATCCCCCATCGTATGCAATCTTTACATGGAAAATATGGAACAACTGCCTATTAAGACTGCCCTTCATCCCCCAATTTGGTGGTACAGATATGTTGATGACACACATACAAAACTGAAGAAAGCTCACGCTCAAGAATTTACTGATCATCTGAATTCATTGGACCCGGATATTAAATTCACAACAGATTCGCTGGCTTTTCTTGACACGCTTACAGTAATACAGAATGATGGTAGCATTAATATCAAATTCTACAGGAAACCGACACACACTGATCAATACCTTAACTTTTACTCTAACCACCCTCTTCAACATAAATTAGGGGTCATCAATACACTTTACCATAGAGCCAACTCACTTGTCAAGAAGGAGGAAGACAAAATTCATGAATGCTTACACATCGATCAAGCTCTGAATAGATGTGGTTATCCAAACTGGGCTATCAATCGAGCAACTAGGAGACATAAGGGCAAGAATGACTGCCAAAGGCATAAGACAACTAATAAAGGATTGGCCGTTATCCCATATATAAAGGGAGTCTCTGAAACCCTCAAGTGAACCTTCGAAACATTTGGCATCACAACGTGCTTTAAACCCACATGCACCTTAAGACAGTTGTTAGTATCAACAAAGGACAAGAGCCAAAAGAAAGACATCACAGGCGCCATCTACCACATCCCATGCCAAGGCAAAACTACTTCCGACAAATGTAAGGATTCTTACATTGGGGAATCAGAAAGAACTCTGTTTCTTGGAACATCGTAGACCGAGTTCAACTTCATCGGAAATCTCTCAACATATACACATTGAATCACCTGGACATCATGTGGACCTGGCACAGGTCAACATTCTTGACAGGGTACCAAGACAATTTGAAAGATGTGTAAAAGAGGCAATTTATATCCGTGTGAACAAACCAACGCTAAACCGAGACGGGGGCCGACACAAACTGCCAAATATCTACGATCCGATTTTGGAGTCACGTGTTCGTAAGATCACGTGCCCAAAATCGGCGTAGCCTTCAAGTCACATTCCAGTCATTGTGCTGAAGACCGTGGCATACGGTCGAAAATTTCACGGTAAGGAAATTTGTTTGTGTTGTGATCAAAAGTTTAAACTTTTAGTACATATTTTAGTATATTATTGTCGTGATATTTTACGACAGGAAACACAAAGTTTAAAAGAAAAACAAAAAAACTTCAAAAGATTACGACTACGCACGACCTCAGGGCCTAGCTAGACAGTATAATACGGTATTTGATTTTTTGACAGCTAGAGTCCCGCCCAGTGGTAATAAAATTAAAAACTTAGGCTAGCATAGCAATTTTTGTGGTCATAACATAGGCCCTGTTACACTTCAAGTAAGATGCTTAGGCTGGCCCTATGTACTGTTATAACATTACACTAAATCGTAAAATAGAACAGCGCTGCCATTTTCCATATTCTCATGGCAAATACTCAGGACTTTTGATTTAGTTTACATTTGTGCTAAATTATGTTTTAAGATTTTTAAAATGTATTATTTGGGATTTGCCTTGTCATAGTGAAAGAAAATAAATTTACTACACTCATTGAGATTCAAAATGTAGTATGTGATCTGTACACTTGCTGCCTATGGAGGAAATACAGAAATCAATTGAGTTTGTTTTCACAAGCTCATTCGCTTACGACGCAAATTGTTAGTGCACGCGTAGAAACTAAAGAATCTTGGTGTACGGTGGCTCAGGGTTGGCATTGTGTGTTTACGAAAGGGCCAAATGCATCGGCGACACTACTTTAGGCCTATGTAATATTTCGAATTATGAGATTTTGAAATCGATTGAATTATCGCCTTCAATCCGTACATTGTGAAAGCCCGATACTATTGAGGGTTCCCTCACGTCTCCTAGTCCAGTTACGGTTTTCCTGACCCAATTACGGTTCCCCTTCCCCTTTGTCCCCACACGTAGTGTTGCGTCATCGTTACACCCCACCTTTTCTACAAATTCCTGTGCCAAAAAGTGTTCATGTATCTACGAAATATCTTATAAATATTCTGAAGACCTTCAGACCCTTCAAGTATTTTAACAGTATAACGTTTTTTAGGATATAGAACACCAGGATTAATCTGAACGTTATAATTCAAACACCACAGAAGAAGCTTTTACCATTTGGACTAATATCTTCAATGGTATTTGTGATAAGCACGCACGTATGTAACCAGAAGATTTTAATACAACTTACCTATATAGTTATTGGAGAGACATGATGTTTTTTTTTTATCGTTTTCATCAGAGAGACAAATTAAAGAAAAAAGCTAACAAAAAAAAGAAAGAAAAAAAAACTAAGGACGCTAAGGACTTACCAAACTATCGTCAATTATACAAAAAACTATTTGTAGAAATGCTAAAACTGATTACTATAAGTCCCATGTTACTAACAACAAAGGTAAATACTAAACAGATCCGGAAAGGTCTTAAGGATCTTGTTCTTTCTAAATATTCTAATATTTTATCACCTTCCTTCTCTATTAATGATACTGACATTTCGGATCCTAAAACTATTGCTAACTTCTTCAACACGTGCTTTGTTAATGCAGGCTAACTTATCTTTGCACTCTTACGTTGATCCATTGTCATATCTTACTCCTTGCGCCCATAATTTTTCTTTTGAAAATATTAGTAATGATTTGGTTTTCCAAGAGCTTATTACTTCAAATCCCCATAAGTCTTCTGGTTTAGATAACACTAATAGCAGACTCCTGAAACTTGCTGATCCCCTAATATCACCCCACCTTACGTTTATCTTCAATCTATCCCTCAATTCTGGCATCTTTCCATTTCTCTGGAAGCACTTTAAGGTCACACATGTCTATAAATCGGGCAAAAAAATAATAGCTTATTAATAATTACCGTCCTATTTCTATTCTCCCTACATCTTATAAAATCATTAAAAAAGCTGTATCTTTACAGCTCTACACTTACCTCAATTATAATAAGCTCATCTGCTTCTCTCATCTTGGCCTTCGACCTAAACATTCTACATGTATACACTAACCACATTTACTAACACTTATGACAACTTGCTTTTAACAAATAAACAAAGAAAGTTGACTGGCTCGATCTTTATAGATCTTAGGAAAGCTTTTGACACCGTTAATCATGCAATTTCGCTGTCTTAACTTTCCTTCTACGGTTTCTCAGCTTTAACCACTTCTTGGTTCAAATCTTACTTAACCTCTCGCACTCAACAAGTCCTTTATGGTCACATTTTATCTGACACCTACACCGTACTAGCTGGAGTTCCTCAAGTTTCTACGTTAGGACCACTATTGTTTTCTTTATATATTAATGATCTTCCATCTTTTATTACTAACATTGATTTTATTATACACACTGACATGTATGCTGATGATACCATTATCTATTACAGTAACACCACATTACCACTACTCGAGCAAAAACTTAACCTACCCCTTAACCGCCTTTCTCTATGGCTTAAACTAAATCAATGATAATTGGTCTTGTAGAAAAGCTCAAAACAATTTCTAACACAACTTATCATCGATAACCATCCTATTGTCTTTGTTACCTCTCACAAACATCTTGGAGTTACCATTAACAACACCCTAACATGGAATTCACACACTTCTACTCTTTGTAAAAAACTTAACTATATTGTATTTCTTCTTGCACGCACCTCTAATATTGTTAACCAATCTACTCTTATTGTTCTTTATAATGCTTTATTTCTCACCCGCTTTGATTATTGCTGCTCTGTCTGGGGCTCAAACTATACAGAGCTTTACGTATAATCCTTAAACTTCCATTTATCATCCACCTTACTGCAGACCATATTTAAACTTGACCGTACCCTTCCTTTACATAAAAGACTTGACTAAAATTAATTAGGTTACCTTCTCAACAACTCAGCTTACTCTCTCGCCCCACAAACTATGCCACCGCTTGACCAAAATCAAAGCTCATAACAGAATGATCACACACAAAATAACTAATGGAAATCTTCTTGTTCCCAAACCTACACTTGAAATTTTTAAACTATCCTTTAGTTACAAAGCCCCACATCTCTATAACGCGCTTCCTTTATCTATTCACAATTCACCTTATATTTTTCTTTCAAAAGCCGACCCTTGGAGTTCTTGAAAGGCTAATCTTTTGCTTAGTCTTCGTTTTTTGTTTTTGCCTAATACATTTATACTGTTACTTTTGCTTTTTTCACAATATTTATTATTTTATTACTTCTTAGATTAAAATTGTTTTTATTATTTTGTCTTTTATGTCATTATCTCCTTTTCATTGTTTTTAATTATTATTACCTGATTTTTGTCACTACTTTTATTTTTCATTGATGCATTTTATCATATATTTGTTATTTTTTTTACGTGTTTCTCTTTTTTTCGTTTTGTCTTTTGACTTAATTTTTTGATGCTTAATTTTTACTATAATTATTTTCTTAATGAGAAAATTCATTTGTTTGGATTATATTTAATTTTTTACTTAATTCTTATGACTGTTGCAATAATCTGCATATTGTATTTTTAGTTATTTTAATTTTAAGTTGTAATGTCTGTGGTATTCTTATTCTAATTTAAATTGAAAGTTGAGATGTTTTCCGTAATTTGCTTTGTTGCATGTTAATGTTCCCTAATGATTAGCCTCTGCTGGATGGATCACCCTCATTAATTTTGGTTAAAAAAAAAAATGTTTGTATAATGTTCAATCATCTTTGATCCAGTGAACCTCTAACTTGGTCTAGATAGTTACAGCATCTGTAAACCACGTATACGACTAGAGTTTAAATCACTTTTGGAAAAAATGGTTATCCTTTTTGCAGAATTCTTCATTTGTAAACAGTCAATTAAAAACATAATGCGAATTTAAATAAATCTACTGAAATTACTAATAAAAAATATAATATCCTTACATGGTAAAAATATAAAGAATAATAATTATTAACCTGTAGCTGAACAAGTAAGAATGCAATAAACAACGCATTGTATAGTACAGAAAATCATATAACTTACCGAACGTTGCAGTTCGGCATGTCATAATAATAATAATGATAATAATAATAATAATAATAATATTAATAACGTTCACACAAGGTTGCAGGAAAGTTTAAACGTTATGTAGGTATGAAATTCTATCTGCGTATTTTTATGATTCTACAAACTAAAGTTTTTAACACAAAACTGTAACATTAATATTATTCGTTCCTTGGCACAGGGACAAAGGATATTTATTTGCTTTTTTTTACACAATGGCCTCTGGCCCATACAAATATAGGTTGACATGAATTTAAAGAGCGATATGATCGTTTCTAAGTTTAAATGATAAATATAAAAATTTAGATAAATCATTGATAATATTGGGAGCACTGGTGGATATTAAACGACTGAATTTGAATTTCGACTTGTACTAAATTATGCAGGTATGAAAGTGTTTCTAATATAGGAATAAAATGGGCAAATCAAGGTAAAATGGTATTCATCGTCATCTAAATTTTAGGAGTAAAATTTTTATTTTTTTATTATTTCGATCTCATTTGATCCATCTACCAGTTTCAATTTCAAGTTTGAAGATATCTAGACGAAGTTTTGTCAGAATCCGTCTATATTTCAAGTTTTCAAGATGTAATAAATAGGTATCAGCATTATAGTTGTTTTTAAATGTAATATAGTATTAAAGCTTTGGATGTGAAGCAATTTCTCTTGGAGTCGATGACGTTTAATGTCGGTTAAACGTAAAGTAAATTCGGAAATAAATTCGTCATGATTAGTAGCATTCTATGCTATATCCAAATATCCCCAAATCCAATAGAACATAAAATGTGTTTGATATAATAAGCCCAACATTTACCATTTGAATTTGTTTTTCAAAGCTGAAAATGATAACATTTAGAAATAAAGCTAAAATTGTCTGCATTCTAATTAAAATCTAATTTTTGTATAAGATTTTTAAATATAATACGGAATTGCTAGTTTAACTGAATTTAAACATTTCTAAGCATAAAAAATGCAAATTAAGACTGAAATTTAATTGTTTGTGTTCCACAAAAAAAAAATAAATGCGGATGAATTTTTCATGTTTGATTTTGCGACAGGTCTGCGAAGAAATATAGTAGGCGCCGAAAACATTAGCCTATCCAACACTGCTAGGCTAGGCCTAGCCTTACCTCGATTTAGGTTCTGTTATCACACATAAAAATGGCCGACATGATATTGTCAGTTGCTGGTATTGATACTTGTGAAATATAATATTTCATAGGAATTATATCGAATTTGTTAAAAAACTGATTCTGACCGAGATTTTAACACTTAAACAAACATACTCAGCCCTTCTCGAACGATCGTATTGTGCTAGATGCGAAGTACAAAAACTAATCCCATTACAGAGGGCGCACTTTTTTGACTGTATAAAGTATACATAAATGCGAGAGTATTCCAGCGGATGCGATCTACAACCTCTAAATTTGCCTAGTAACGACGAATACGTCGAGAACATGGTAATATTCTATGAGAAATAGTCTGTATTTCTCTTTTTTTTTATTCTTTTGCGTAAAAAGCAAATTTGAGTAGTTAAATTATAGTTTATACACAACAATAACCTCAGTATACTTTAGGAACAGGAATTGATGTTAGGTACTAAATCTTAATAAATAAACTAATGATCGATGGGCAGGATCACCGCAATAGAAATCCTATAGGCGACCCGAAAGTCATTGCCCTATGCAGTGGTCAAAGAAGAACCTGTTTAATTCAAGTACGGTACCGGGCTAATAAATTAAGTACAGGAGTCAACGTTTTTGCTAATACTAAGTGTACCCAATCATTATAGAGAATAAGAGATCTAATTACAAGAGTATACCTCAGTCTAGGGTAATGTATAATTTCGTCACCATTGATGTTTTAGCACTTGCTATCATTGGACATATTTTTACTTTCTTACCCAACCCAACCATCCCCAACATCTTCCCATTCCAATACCGGGGTTCTCATGTAATATCGGCTGGTATAATTCTTATCAAAATTAGTTGCCCCCAATTGAATATACTAACGGGGTTGTAATGGTTCATAGTAAATGAAAATATCGCCCTAGGCCTCTACTCGGGTCCATCGGGAATTCCCATGATTCGCCAGCAAGACAAATAGTATTGCATGAGTGACCTCCAAGAAGCCAAACAGTAGTTAAGTCATGGAGGTATAAATATATTTTTATACCTCCATGGTTAAGTAAGGTATTTCTGTTTTAATTGTATATACTGTAGCTGAGCAATATATAAAAAACGTTATAAGAATTCGTTATAATAAATTACGACGATCTCGAAATATATATTGTGTTGTGTATAAACTAAAATTTATGCCAATATTTTTCCAAGTTTTTTAATAATTAAAGTAATGCATGCATCTTTTCTTTAAAAAAAATATGTTTTAGTGAAATTTTGCCGGAAATGGGGCTTTAAGTAAAGGTAAAAATTACCGCAAAGAACTTTTTAAACAATAAACTGAAAGAGGGACTCTCCCACATTCTGCATTGACTGCACCCCTTAGCGCGGAATTGCAATGCTCAATATCTACAGAATTTAGTTTAAACTTTTTTCGATAGTCGGTATTTCATTAATATAACATTCTTATATCGTAATATTGTTAGCTGGGTATAATTACTATAGACTGTCCGAATCAATACAGCTGTATATACGGGATTATGATTAATGAATGGGGATGACCAATAGAACGTCTTTTTTGGTATATCTATAATAAATCCTTCTTCATACAGAAATGCAGTTAAGAATAATATATTGTTTTTTGGGTTTTTTTTTTAGATTAACTGTGTACGTTAATACAGTAATTATTATATATTGATTTCTGTAACAAATTCAAATTAATGGCAATACTGTTTCTAAATACATAGCTGTATAAATAAGTTAATGCATTTTTGTTTTGATATTAGACTTGTCTATCGTAAAACCTAACGGTCACAGTAACGATGAAGATTGCACTGAAATATATCCAACAGGCTTGTTGAATAATGTGAATTGTAGTAATATTGCCCTACCTATATGTGAAAAAGGTAAATACGTCAAACACATATTTTGCTTAAATTCGTAAATACTTACAAGTAAAGTTTCAAATTTCGGTCTTAATTGCTACTATCGAGGGAAAATCTCTGCTTAGTCACATAGACCTACTAATATTTCTTAACAATTACACATTTAGAAAATTATATATAGAACTTACTCTGAGTTCGTCATATATACAAACGAATAAATCCATGCTACCTTTCTCATTGTTTGGTCGCTTCACTTTTGATGTACTGCATTTAGGATATACTATGTGAACATACAATATTTATATTTGGAGACTAAGAACATCATTTCGTGTGGTTTGTTGTGAGAGGCATATTCGCAAGAAATACACATTTTTGTTTGCTTGTTTATCTCGTACGTATTCTCACAATAGAGATTGTTCTCATTATAAAACATTAGACTTGCATGTTTCTAATCTCTTGTATTTATATTAAAGATGTTCAAAACACCTGCCCTCAAGAATACTCTTGTCAAAATTCTTCTGTATGCTTACCCCATCTTAAAGGCGACTACGATTTTTGCTGTAAGTAACTATTATTTATGTTAAAGTATATCAACGTATTAATCTACATTTTTATACTACGCACATACACGGACATCTTCACACACAAATCCACACCTACATTCGTACATAAAATACAGATAAGACATTCCTTATAATTTTCCGGCTGCCGTCGTCACCATATTGACATTTTCTCTACCCATGTACGACATACTCTTATAGTTCATATTATTTTATAACAATGTGATGCCAAGTGGCGATAGAACTACTTTATAAGCATTAACCATCTCAGATTGTATTTTCTCAGACAATAAATGTCCAGCTGGATGCACATGTAAAGACTTTGGAGTTATGTGCAATGCAATCGAATGGAATCCAACAATAATAATCAAACCTTCAGTTGCTTACCTGTAAGTAATTATATCCATTACCGGTAATAATCTCATGGTCAAATCTGTCGTATGTTACATCGTTAATTTATTTGGGTCATGTTATTTTTCCAAATCTACAAAATATTGATGACATTGCATGTCAATACAGATCGTATTTTGTATTCAAGCCAATAGGCCAAAAGAGGGCTCTTATCTGTCCCAGGATAAAATATCCTCATTTTGAAATTGACATAAGAAGAAAATGTGAAACTACTTCGCAGCTCAAATCATGCCAACCACAGACTCAGAATTAGTTAGACTATTGTTTTCTAAAAAAATCAATCAAAGAAAATTTTCCCTTTCGAGAGGGGTGCTAATTCAGACGGGGCACTTATTCGCTCGATTACGGTAGTACACAAATATAGTAGTTCATACGCAAGTCTGTTAAAGTTTGCTGATTATTATATTTTAAAATCTGTCTGCATATTTGAAGTAACATAACAATTACCAACTAGAACCCACTGAACTGAAATATAATTAAGCTAGTGTATTAAAAAGTCTTTACCTTGACTAAAGACATAGCGCTGGCTTTGACAGGCAACCAAAACCATGTGAGCAGCACGCAATTAATTAGAAATAAATCATATTCAAACTATGCTTTATTATGTTTGATAGGCAGCTAATCGATGAATGTTGTAAATAAATGTGGCACTTTACCATGATGTTTAGAAGCGTCAGTTATCGCCAAACTCTCAATGTGTGACGAAGAGGCTGTTTTGTTCATTTTATCAAATAGACAAATAACAATTTTGTGATAATATGAAAGTAGTCTTTTTTGGCAAATCTTGAATCATTTTATGGTTGTGATGATATAAGTATACACCTCAGAAAGACAATAGGAATATATTCATATTTTATCTTTCTCGTTATCTTACCACAGACAACCATGGTATTCTCAATCAATTACTCCAAATATCTCAATATGATTGGCTTTAGCTATTATTGAGACTGCTTGAGTTATATATATATATATATAATATATATAGTTGTATCTAGTTGTAGTTTCCACGTATGTCTCATACGAATATATAAATAAAAGTAAATACGAAAATGAAGCGACAGCATACGTTGACATAATAGAGACATAAAATTTATTGCAAACGAATATTTCGGACACGCCTGTGTCCTTCTTCAGCGTTAACACGTATGATACGTGTTAACGGGTTAAAGGGTCTGTAGTTATGACCTGGATGGTGTAACATTTTCTTTTACATTTCTTTAATAGAAAACTGGTCAATATTCTTGTGCCTGAATCATCTCAGCGAATGTCCGAAGATGGATTAAAAGTTCTGCATATCATAATGGATTTCCCACTACTCCAAACAGCGTATGTTATCCAAGGAGTTAAACTATTAGACGACATTCTTTGACAACTACAAGAAAAAATTGATAAATACTAGTGATCAAATTGTCACAAAAAAAAAAAAAAAAAAAAAAAAAAAACACAACCATCTACAACAATAGAAACTACCTTAGCCATTTTTGATAACAACACTTTCAATCGTCTGTAACAAAAACAAACGTTCACTCGTATGACACTTTTATAGCAATAACTGAGCAGTCGTCGAAAACAGCAGCAATAATATCGTAGATAAAATCGTCTTCAGTGACAGTAATAATCACTCATTGATAACAATAGCAATAATATTTCATAATAATATTATATACATAAATTATATTTCAGAAACTTTTCGAACAATGAAATTCAAGATATTCTACCAGGTACATTCCTGAATCAGACCTTGATGAAGGAGCTGTAAGTTACCTCTACAAATAACAATTACTCTATACTGATATCGAATTTATATAATTGAAATAATTCGTTTGCGGACAATAAATATTATTTAAAAAAAACTTGTAATAATGACAGTAACACAATTATAAATAAATAAAAATTGCCTTAATTTAGTTCTGGTATGACATTGTATTTTTAATAAATGTAATGCTCAATGACTAAAATTACAACATGCAATTAAAAAAAAATAAAACATTTAATCAGTGGAAACATCTAATTAGTGGAATTAGCGTGGGAGAAAGAGTAATTATCTATGAATACTATTATGTAGATTAAATGTGAGTTCAGATTAGTAAAATGATAATGACAATAGTAATGAATATAACAAAATAAAAAATAATAATCATAACTGGTATTACCTAACACACAAAGCATTTCAAAGAAAGAGATACAGCTCCACAGTGGGGTGTCCAAATTAAACCGCCTTGTGTAATTTGCTTAACAATGGGATTTGTTTGATAACGCAATAACTGATCTAAATTAAGGTGTCTTTAAAGGTTTCATAAGTATTCAATTGTTGCAAATGACGTTTTGCAAATTAAAAAATAAAAAATGTAACACAATGAAGAAAAATGTATTCCATATTGTTAGAACATCTAAAAATTATTATAGAATGTCGCGTATAGTCAACATTATTACATTATCCTTTATTAAAGTCATAATGTATGTCATATGATATCTATGACATTGGCCTGCCGTTTTATGTACTTTTTACGATAATTATATATTTATAAACTCTCTGTACAAAGAAAAAAAGGCCAAACTATCATATAATCAAAGTGACCACTTGTTTATACATTATGATGGTTTTTTTAGTATTTCCATTTATTTGTCACCTTTTGTCATTATTGTTCAGGTATATTTATTTAAAAAAATTCATACAAAAAAAATTAAACACAAATTCAAAAACAGAAGTTATTGGCAATAAAAAGTCTTAACCACCGAGATACAGTTTAACACTAGTGCATCCAAAAGAATCACAAGATGCAGTATAATTTGCATAATTGCTTATTCTCCTTATGTCTTGAAGGGATTTGTCTGGTAACGCAATAACACATCTAAATCAAGGTACCTTAAATGGTTTGACAAGTCTTCGATCGTTGTAAGTGATGTTATCAGTTCTAAATTACAGTTTCCTAACACTCAAATAAAGTCGTGAAGCATTTAACATTGTTTACTATGCCGGCCATTATGTGAAAGAGCTAAATTTTTGTTCGTCCTCATTCTGTTATGAGCTTCCCTGCTTGTAAAACCAGAGTTTAGTTAACAAATACCCTAGACATTCTCATTCCGAATATAGTTTTTGTTGGTGATCATATGGATAATATAATGAGTTACTTCAATCTAACAATAACATTACAAATATTAATAACAGTAGCGATTATGATGACAATGTCATCGGTTTGCCATAATTAAGAATATTTTCCCCTTTTTAATAAATGGGTGAACGTTAATAGCAGTTGTTATAGATGTAATGTAACTTTAATTTAAATACAAAGGCTAAGGTTTGTAAACAGGAAATACAGTATAAGTTCTAAATCATTATTTATAACTCATACATTGTAAACATCTTTTAGAGGATTTAAGAAAATATTAGTAAAATGCTTGACCACCGAAGTCGTAATATCGCTGTTCATAAGGAAAACTGCGCTCACTTGGCTCTGGTAAAAATTAGTGATATTTGGTGAATTATTTCTGTATTGATCGTCCTGAATTATTCCGACATGTTGGTGAATAATAGGTAGTTTTCTTATTTTTCATACTCGTATTACTTTTGGACTACGTACAAAGTTAGGCCTGGTGGTAGGCAATGCTATATGGCGGATGAGTTGAAAGCCAGGACCAAGTGCGTGTATGCAAATACAAATACCACAAGAGATACGGCGTCGAAAAAGGGGTAAAGCCGGTGATGTTAAAAAAACAGTTTCATACTAGGAAATTTAAACCTTATTTACCAAGTATGATAATGAAAAACACTCGAAGTGCAATAAAACGGACGAACTAAGAGCTAATGTGATGCACTTTCATAAATTTAGAACTGCCAGTATCATATTTTACACAGAGACCTGGTTATTGGAGAATACGAGTGATTAACATTTTGAGATTAATGGATTCTGGTTATTTCGAGGCGATAGGACTGCATCATCAGGGAAGAGTGGAGGGGAAGTTAAAGTATACCTTATTGAAAGCTACTGTCATCCAAATAACATAAAAATAAGTTTATTTGCCTACCTCATGTTGACATTTTGGTTTTGTGTACGTCTATACTATTATTCCTAGGGGATTTTCGCATGTAATTATGGTAGCGGTGTAAACACCACCAGACAGGAGACATGCAAATGAAGCTAGAGCAGCATTTAGTAGTATTATTAGTGAGATAGAAATTGCGAATCCTGACGCTTTTATCGTCGTTAGCGGAGACTTCAACCACTGTACTTTGTATAGAAGCAATATTTACTTCTACCAACACATTAAGTGCAGCACAACGGGGTGAAGCTACACTTTATCTTAGCTACTCAAACGTAAAGGATGTCCTGTTACACCAGTAACCTAACCTCGGTTTATCAGACCATAACTTGTGCATCTGCAACCGAAGTACTGTCCAAAGGTTCTGCGTCAAAAACCAAATTTTTTACAGTAAAACAGTGGTCTAAAGAAGCAATTGAACAGCTTCAATTTGAGTTTGAAACGACGGACTGGAATATGTTTAAAGATAACTCTGATAATATGGATGAATTGACAGAAACCATTATTGCTAATATTAATTTTTTTACTGATAATGTGATCCCAATTAAGAAAGTAAAAGTGTATGGCAATTTTAAGCTATGGATAAATAAGATTATAATGGAGATATTAAAGAAGAAAATACAAGCATTTAAAAATAATGGTGTCACCCAAGCAAAAATTATCCAGAAAGAGTTGATCAAGTATTCTACCTAATCAGCAGTGACGCATCTTAAGGCTAACATGAGAACACGTGCAGTCGCCGCGGATTCATTACACTTCAGTTAGCCGTGTAGGACGGACGTACTTCTTTCAGTAATTTTGAAATGAAATAAAATAAAAGACAAGACACAAGGTGAATTTATTGCACATTTAAGGTGAAAATTTAAATGTACAATATATTTTTAAGTAATTATATTAAAAATGTTAAAAATACACCAGATATGACGTATTACAAATATATAATAAAGTTAAAATATACAAGTGGGAGGGCACAGTACAATATATTGTCTGGTATCTTTTATTCATTCACATATGAAATTCAAAAAAAGCAGCACTAACTGAATTACAATTTCAATATACGGTACAAATTAGGCAAATCAATAAATAAATTGGTATATACGATTCAATACATGAAGAATTAACTAAGTTAGCTATATACAAATTGAATTAATAAAAATTCAAATTGATTAGGTTACTATAAAAATAGATACAGAAGATGACAAATTAAAATATAATATAGGAAATGTGCATAAAAATACATGAATATACAATTAACAAAATAATTGTTCATTAAAAATAATAATTATGTAACGCAGTGGCACAGTATCGTATTAAATAACTATTGAATAAGTCATTAAAATATGGACGGTGCACGAAAAAATATATTTTTGTTCTCAACTTTTTGAATCAACTATAGTCAAATAACGTCCAACGTTTTCTTGTCTACAACAACTAACATTTCTAATGCAACAGAGATCGTAAATCAGCTTCATCACTGCAATCAAGTGATTCTTAAAGGACTCGGATCAGGATATTGCGAACCATTTACAAAGTTGGCAGCACACATTAACGAGCATGTGGCATCTATATTATAATTATGTTTATTTTAAACCCTACGAGCATAGTGTTGTAACATTACGTCAGATAACGTTTGGGATTCGTAAACTACTTGCCTGAAAAACCGTAACAACAAGTAGATCATAAAAGTCTCCATCTGAAGAAGTGAATATAATTCCATATTTCAGATTATTTGAGGGAAAAATAATGACTTTACTATTGATAATTTCACTAGGTGTTTAGCTGTTTTGACCAGGTGGCATTGTTCACACAGTCACCTAGATTCCTGTTTTTTTTTTTTTTTTTAATATAAGGCCATGTTAAAAAATAAATAAATAAGTTGTTAATCTTCCGTTCAATTCATAAGAAAAACAACAACAAAAAACCCACAAAAATATTATCTTTCCGCCCACAATTCAAATTTAGCTAAACCAACAATACCGTACTCGCACGAATAAGCGCCCGGGCGCTTAAAATATTTTGTGCACTCTGAGGGGCGCTTATTCAAACGGGGCGGTTATTTAAACTGCTTATGGAAATAGATGGAAATCGAGGGGTTCTTATGGGAAATTATTTTAATAATTAAAAATTCAAGAAGAACTTTTTGAATGAAAAAAAGATTATATAAGGACATTACGAATGGTGATTAGAAAAGATAATCGTCCAGAGAACATGGCTAATAACAAGAATGAGTGAATATTTACCGTACATAACAGCAAAATAGCAGATGCAATTAGTGGTGGGTAGTGGTTAACTTATTGGCCATCGGCCGATTGAGCTTAGCAGGATGGCAGGACCATTGTATTTTTCTTGAAAACTTGAAAAGATGAGAATGTGCTTAAGGTCGAAAAAAAATGAGTAGGACTAGACATAGACAAATCTGTACAAAAGATTAAAGTTGGAAATATACTGTCTGTCCAGGAATCGGAGCTCTCATCTGTTCAAGAGAAATATCCTTATTTTGATATTGACTGAAGAAGAATGTGTTTCCACTCTACAGCTCAAATCATGACAACAATCACAGTCCCAGGATTGATTGGATTATTGACTTGCTAAAAAGAAAATCTTATAAGGGGGCGCTAATTCAAACGGGGCGCTTAAGGAAATTTTCACGTAAGGAAGGGCGGTTATTGGAGGTTATTGTTTTCAATGGCTTGGCAAGGCCTTCAATCGTTGTAAGTGGCAATCCACAAGCTAAATATCAGCTTTTTGACAATGAATATGCATTGTCTGATATGTCATTGTTTATGTCAAAACGTCGATAACGAAAAGCAATCTGAGACAATATATCAAATCATAATATCAGTCTTAAAGAACAAAATGACCCAATGAAGAACTATACTTGAAACATCATATATATATTTTATTTAGGATTAAAATACCTAAATGAAAATACAGTATTTCTCTATCCTATGAGTCAACCGCTATTACAAAAATTTAATTAGGCTATACACGTAGGCCTCTTACATTGTAGATTAAGAGTGGAGGCGTTTTCTTATCAAAAGCCTGGTGTTACGAATAAAACACAGCACCATGGAATTAGCAGGAAGAAGTCTTTACTACCACGACACATTTCTAATGTAGTATTCTGCATGTTATATTGGCAATTACCGGAAAACAAATTACTATACACTCATTGATATATCGGTAATTTTTCTCATGTGCTTGATTTTAAGGGATTTGTATAATAACGATATATATGGTGTAACAAAAGGTGCCTTCAGTGATCTAACAAGACTTCGAACGTTGTAAGTGTAAATGGAAAAGTTATGAAATATCAGTTTTTGAGATTTTGATAGTCTATGAAATAGACTAACAAACTATTTAATATTGCTTTATATGCTTAATATTTCAAAATGTATGCATAGCCGCACATTCATAATATGATGACGTTGGGGGTATTGATTCCGAAAGCCCTAGAAAAATGTTCTGTTTACTTTCGGGAATTTTTTTTTAATTTATTGCATAATTTCATATAATTCCTTCCGACTAAAAATGCAAACCAGAGCTTTCTCTATGATTAGACTTGGATATATAAAGTATCATATCAATTTTAAACCGACAATTAAAAAACATCGTGATCGATAACATACAATATCGATTGGATACAAAGAATGTATTACTTATTGTTACGTTCGTCTAGTTGTGGCACGAAGTTTGACTGTAAATGAAGTAGGGTAGATTCCAACGATGTTTTTTTTCAATCTGTCTTTATTCAGAACTCCACATTTTCAACATAGGAGGTGCAGCCTTATCACACCCTCCCCTTATAGCACTCTCAATAATATAAAATATGCTGTTTTTATCAGTAGAACTTTACAAA